GGAATTGCAGGAGGCACTGGCGTCATGCCTGGAGGTAATATAGTTACTACAGAACAGATGTTCTATTTACCATCTCAAGATGCGAAAACTGTTGGACTACTTTATGGTTAAAGAAATATATTATGAAAGTTGTATATCTGCAGATCTTCACTTTGAGCTCGACAAGGAAGGAAAAAAAGGGCAAAGCAGAAGATACATGTGAAAGCTTCAACTATGAGGTACAATCTTCCAGAATATTAGATGGAAAAACTATTGGACTCATACAGAGAAAACATGAAAACAGAAGGAAATGTGGGGAAGGATAAGATCGTACAGCAAAAGACGGCAAACCCTGTGGCTTTGCTACTGTCCTCGGCCATGATGCTGAGACACCTTCAGTTCCCTTCATTCGCTGATCGGTTGGAAACTGCAGTGAAGCGAGTGATCTCGGAAGGGAAGTATCGGACTAAAGATCTTGGTGGAGATTGCACCACGCAAGAGGTGGTTGACGCTGTCATTGCAAATTTGGACTGACTGACTGGAAATCCAGGTTCATGTTACAGGGTCTATACATTCTTTTGATGAAAAATCAAATTGGGTTTTGCCAATCAAACATCTTCGAAATAAGTATTGTTGCACGATTGTTGGGTTCATTTCAGAATTTCCATCTTAGCTCCTCAAGAAGAGGGGATTTAGATGTTCCTCGAGTCTTTTTTTCATTTCTATACAGTAAATTTGGGAAAGTTACCATGATATATTACCTAATATTTGAATTTCATTACCATGTTTCTATTTCAATCGTTTAGAATAACTGCATTGTCTTCTTCACAAAGCTTTGCTATTTTGTTTGGGGAACCAACTTCAAGTAAGCAAAACTAAGCTCACTCATGGAATCTACTCCAATTTTGTGGAAGGGGTGTGTTTAGGAATGTTGATAAATAGTGTTGGGGCATAAGCAGATTCGGGAAAATTTGTGATTTTTTTTTATTGCCAAGCAGAAAGAACGGCTTCAGTTGCATATACATTGATTCTCAATACATTAAAATGCATCCAGAGAGACAACGTTTTGGTTTCGACAGGAATCGATAAGTCACATTACCAGAGAAGATAAAGACAGAGGACCGCCAGCTGAAGAACAGACAGGAACGAGAAACTCCAGTTCGAGTTGAACGTTGAGGCATAGTTTCTCGAAGGAGACGCTGATTTATCAGACATGAACAAACCCGGTTACGGTTAATTATCGTAGCTGTTGCATAATCGAACAAGTCTACAGAATAAACCTGGACAAGAATCTGGCGAGAGGGTCGCGAAGATGGTTTGGTTGGAGAAACCGGCGTAGACGCAGGAACGAGGCCCGCAAGAACTGGTGGACGAGTTGCCGCCGATGAGCAAACCCTCTGGCCCTTGGCATTGCATGGAAGGGCAAGTCTGCCAGTTCGCAGGCTTGAGCTGAGAGGGCTCGCAACTTAAGCTGGCCAACAGAACAGAGGAGAACAGAGGAAATGGCATTAAGATAATAGACATCTGACTTCAGGATTGTTACCGAATAAACTTACGTCCAGTTGTTTGAAGCGTCACATGAGCATTTGACGCAGTTGTTGGCCGTGAAGGCGTAAGAGCCATTCGCCACAAGCATCGGAGCGTCCAGTGAATCGTTCCTCACAGAAGAGCTACAGGCTAAGAAGGATAAAGTTCGAAGCTTTATGTCAAAACATGAATGGATGAAGATGGTCCAAAGCCGGAACCGACCCTTGTCAGGAAACCGGAAAAAGATCCAAACTTTATGAGAAAGAAGATAAAAGTTCGAAACTTTAGACAGAACATGAATGAATAAGGATTGTCCAAAATCCGAACCGACCCTTGTCGGGAGACCGGAAAAAGATCCAAACTTTACAAGAAAGAAGATAAAAGTTCGAAACTTCATTCAGAACATGAATGAATATGGATTAACCAAAATCGGAACAGGCCCTTGTCGGGAAATCCGAAAAAGATCCAAACTTTACAAGAAAGAAGATTGTTTTGTTCCTCCAAACCCTAAAATCATTTTGCTTTTCACCCAGACAATTTTAGTTGAAATTGACAGAGTAAACCGCAATTCAACCACACTCCTTAGGCTCTAATTCTTTGCATGTTCAAACCCATTTGGATAAATTGATTATCTATTTTTTTTCCCGTTTCTGGGTAATGAGTATTACCTTTGAGAGGGACATCGAAGGCATAATCAGCAAGAAGCTCGCTGTCGCCGGAGATTCCGTTAAGCCTCAACAGCGTCGCGTTGTCCGTACCGAACTGTGCGGCGATGTCGGAGACGGAGCTTCCAGATTTCACCACGTGGGCATAATGAACAACATCCTCTCCATCCACTTTGTCGCAGCTACATGGCAATGGAATCCACAGTCTCTGACCCTTTTCGATGATGTTGTAGTTCTTGATCCTGTTCACTTCCCCGATCCTCTCGTACCGAACCAGCCCTCCGAACACGACGGACGAGATCACGTACAAGGTGTCGCCGTCCTTGACGGTGTACGTCGGGACGCGGTTCGAGATTCCGGTGCCGTTGGAGCAGGAACATGGGACGGGGATTCGGATCGTCTGATTCGCGCTCCATGGCTGGTCACGTGGGGTGGAGAGAGGGAGGTTGTTGGCGGCCAAGATCGACCGGAGATTCTTGACGGAGAAGAGGGTTTGGAGGTCGCCGAGAGTGGTCGCGTTCTGCTGCGCGAACCCCACGAGAGCGCGACACATGGCGAGTCCTCCGCCGCCGCCGCATTTGAAGTTTCCGGTCATTTCGGCGGCGGAGAGGGAGAGGAGAAGAAGGGAAAGCGCAAATCGGAGAAATCCCATGTCTTTTAGTGGGAACGAAACAAAGAAGAAGATTTGAGACAATGTCTGTGGTTTCACAATGTAATAAATGTTTCGTGTCTGAAAAGTCCTCAAAGACCAAAACCACTTGTCATCAGTCAGGTACACACTGGTACATAGTACATATACACACATATATATATATGGTCCATATATATATTATATATATTATTAATAGTCGGATTATTAATGATCAAAAAAACTGTGCGTTCCTATCAACTATCTCCATAGTGTTGAATATATCATTTACCGTGTGAATAATCGAGTTATGGATTTAATAGCCGCGCCATATGAAAACAAACAAACAATAACTGTATTTATGACGTCGGAATGACGTAAGACGACCTCACACTTGCCTCACGTCACAAACAATGATCTTTAGTCTTGGGGGGCTCAGATTTGAGTTAGCTCGTGAGGGGTTTCTTTCTCGGACCGTTTGAAACGGCATTCAGGGCTGAAATTGAATTTCATTTATCAGTACAACTTTAATAACCACCAAAAAAAAAAATATTATTATTGTAAGTTAGGGGTTTCTTTCTTTGGACCGACGACTCTCTTGGTCTTGGTCTTGGTCTTGACCCCTATGGAACAAACGGACAGCTTCAGGGGAGAATTTCACGTCATAAAATAAAACGCGAGCAGCATCTTTCTTACAAATCAGAGAAACTGTGTTCCGTCAGAAACTTGACCCAAAATTTGCTGTCCGGAAAATGCGATATTGTATTGAACGAAGACAGAATTTTGAGCACAAGAGGTATGAGGCTGTGAGCTTTTATTTGCCTATCTGAGGACCCCAAGAAAAAACACACCACAAAATCCAAAACTTACGACGAGATTCTTACGTTCAGACCTCCTCCAGTCTAGCGAGAATGGACTCCGCAAAACTCTGTTGCCTGCAAAACACACCGAACGAACGGTCAGCCCGTCATCGTCCGCTGGCTGATTTGGACCCCGAAAATCGGCATACTATCCTATGATATTGGTCTATTGATTCATCATATACATGCTCTCTCCAGTTCCCATTCTAAGTTATTGAAGACATAAGTTTGAACTTGGAGACACGGCTCTAGATTCCATCTCACCAAGAAAAGGACAGCAACAACAGGAAGAAAACATTGGCCAACTTACTTGCGTTCTCTGTGCTTGGGGCTTGGTCGGGAATACTTCAAGTATCCGTCCCAAGGGACCATTCTGAGACCTGCCCGGACAGATATCATGTTTCTCACCCTGTCAGATGAAAAATAAGGTTAACAACTGCCATGTGAATCAACCTACTCCCCTGGAGCAAGAAATTGTTCTACCAAGGAAGATATTTCTTTTCTTTTTTTTTCCGATGAATGCCCTAGAAATTTGACGTCTTACCTCTCTGCAAACTCAATCGGCGTTTCTCCAGGCCTTATAGTTTGGGGTTCCAAATACCACACATCACACACGACGGCCCACGATGACATGAGTTGCAGCAAGTGCATAGTGAACGACTGTCTGCAAAGAGCATGTAACATCTCATGTTATACCTTTGTTTCACTTAGACAAAAGAAATGGCCTAAACTACTTTTGTTTTCTTCAAAACCACCAGTGAAGAGATGACTTGTCTAAACCTCCACTATATGTCAAAAAAAGAAACACATTGTCAAATAATTTTTTTAACCTATAGATCAAATACTTCTTCATCCTTCACAGAAAAAAAAATCAAAGTACGAGCCCAAATATCTTACTTCCGGCTGTTCCAGAAGGCATCAACAAATATCTTGTTGTATTTGATTGCAATTGGACAAACAGTGCATCCCAGTTCAAAAGCGCCCTGATCATCATCATGAAGACTGAGTCAAAAAACTAATTTTTGGTAGAACATGACTTGTATCAAGGTTAGGTCCGGATTACCTTTTTGAACATCACAGTATAATGATTATTTACACATGTCCCTTCAGGAAAGATGAGAAGAGGATTGTTATCAACCCCTTGAACATGCTCCCTTAACCTGAAATATGATATTTGTGTTCCCGTGATCAATATGAGGAGAGTTTGTATTGATGCTTTAGTAATCATAAGAACTTTACATACTTTCTTGCTACGATTTCACGATCCTTCGCCTCTGAACGATTGAACCAGATACATCCGACACTCTCTAGTATGGTGCTTTGCAGCAGCCCTTCATATAAAAGCAACAGAAGTCAAACTGGTCTTAAAACAAAACACAAAGCAATGATTTCACTCGTCAAAATTATCAACAAGCTATTACAAACTGATCAAGCATCTTGCAATGACACTCATCATCCATAAATTAAAGATAGTATAAAATACCAATATTGCACTTCTAACAGATATATCGCAACAATAAGACTTACCAACCCAACCAGGATGCTTCTGCATTATAACAGCAAATGCAGTCATCTGCTCTAAGATGATGAAATCGATCATTGAAGTATGGTTGGCAACATACACCTACACCAAATAATAACATATATTATTGATTGATAAATACATTTTAAGGATATATGAACTTTCATAAACTTCAAAGAGAGTAGGAAAACGGGCGAAAGATGAGAAAGTTTAAAAAGAACAGAGACCTGCCCAGGCCGGATGCTGGGTCGTGGGCCATGATACTTGACAACTCCTGTCCACGAGGCAACAAAGAAGCTGCACATCATCTCCACCAAGCACCTCTAATAGTACAGGAAGCAACAGTAAGAAATTCATCAGTAAGAGATCTTCACTTTGAGCTCGACAAGGAAGGAAAAAAAGGGCAAAGCAGAAGATACATGTGAAAGCTTCAACTATGAGGTACAATCTTCCAGAATATTAGATGGAAAAACTATTGGACTCATACAGAGAAAACATGAAAACAGAAGGCGATAGAACAAAAGGGAACTAATGAGAATCTGAGAAACAAAGAAGAACTCAGAACAAATCACACCTCTATCTTTTTCCTCAACTTGTCCTGACCTTTCAGCAGAGAATGCACGGGAATAAACGATGAAAGAAATATCATCCATCCGAAAGCCAACACTAAGCACCTGCAGATCTCAACAAAGAACAGCATGAGATGGATATAAATTTGAAGAAACCATCTCTTGATATGATTGAATAATAAAGACCAATATCAATGGCATTCCTTGAAGAACGAGAGAAACCAACCTCATGGGAAAGAGAATAAAATATCTAACGACGACCCCGCAGCACCACAGCGGAAACAAGTATATATTCCAATTCCAAGGTTCTGGTGGAATCGACTTGAAGCATCGTGTGAACGAGTCCTGCCCATTCATCCCAACATAAGTATCACTAGAATTGAAACTCGACCCAGATGCATATATCAGATCATGCATCAGATGCCGACCGCAATCATGCAATTCCTGACCTCCAATGTCTCACCATCTAAAATTGAACTCACCCTTGTGATGAAATAATCGAATTCTTTCTTGAAGAGTTTGTTACAGAATGTCAAAGGCATCCAAAACAAATCCCAACTACACTAAATTTCATAGGAACATTTCAACAGAGACAGAAAAATTGTTGGGACACTCGAAGTATCTTACATCAACAATGGCACCAGCAGCTTCAGTGAGCGTGGGAGAAATGTCAAGCAAATCACGCCTGCAAACATGACGAAAACAGACAGCTAATCAGCCGATCGAGCCAATCAAATCCGCAGAAACTCTCACAAATTCCCCATCTCAGAAGCCTATTTCAATTCTACGCATGTAAACATATAGAGGGGGGGAAAGAGGGAATACAGGCGGAGCTTGCCGTGAGGCTTGTTAATGGAGGATCCGGAAGGAAGGTAATCCTCGATGTTAGGGCGATCGAGGTCGATCTCAGAGGGCGAAGTGACGAGCTTCCCAGCAGTGCTGGTCATCGTCTCCGGATGCGGTTTCCGATCTCCAGTGGCCGTCGAATGTTCCGGTGAAAACGAAGAAGACGAAGAAGAAGCCCTCTCTCTGTAACAAAAGATGATGTTCTCTCGCGTAATGCCAATATCCTCTCTCTTCACGCAACACAACGCACCTTTTCCCACTCTTCCTCACGCGCGCGTGTCATTCACGGACGACCGCGTGATATATAATTCGATTGAATTTGTTTATTTAAAAAATGTCCAAACAAATTATAACGTACCAAAAATACATCAATCAAGATTACGGTTATGGATATCTACATAGGCCATACCAGATTAATTTTAATTTCATTTGGACAAAAAGGTCATTAAAGAAACAAACAAATTCCATGAATAGTTTGACTGAGTCGTCACGATCTAAATTTCCAAGCCCTTGAAAAGCAGTCATTCGGATCTTGTACTAATTGCAGAAACTTAATTAAACAATTATTATTAATTTATTATTGCATTTAAAAAGATTGAGCCGAGCCCGCTTCAAAATAATAAATACAAACCTTCTGTCTCCTTCAGAGGTTTATGTTCCGCCTCGGCGACAGACGTGGCAAAACTCACGTTGAGTCTCCTCTTTTCCCCCCCCCCATCCAAACAGAAGCAGAGCTACTCATACTCCCCACTCAGCTGTCGACACGTGGCATCATAAGCCACCACAACCCCTCTGCCGCCGCCGGCGGGCCTCTCGTGGCGGCGATCGCTCTCGCCGGAAGTCTACATATGATGGAACTCTATTTACAACATAAAAGGTTTTTTCATTCAGGATTGGATGACTACGTTAAGGAAGGATTTAAACTTCTTATCGAATTGGAATGAGTATTTTTTAAGAGATTTGGTTAAAAAATCGGTGAATTTTGGGGTTCGCCTTGGGGTTCGCCCCCAGGTCAGGTGGTAATGAGCATGGGGAGCACCTATGAGGTGGGGAGTTCGATTCCTCGCCGTCTCACTTACTCTGACCTGCTCGCCTGCCAGCCTGTCATAACGGACTGATTTACCTTCTACGCGTGTGTTGCAGGCTCGTGCGTATGGACTTGGGGTTTGACCCGCAGGCGCCTAAGCCCAACTACGGCCCGAGCGTTAGGCGCGCCTGGTGACCAGGTCCGGCAGACTGAGGTCCATGGGGACTGTTAGGCGCAGGTGATGACCAGTTCGTCTCCGTTTGTAAGGGTAGGTAGTCACGTGTTCTCCAATGTATCAAAAAAAAAATCTGTGAATTTTTGGATTATAAAAAAAAAGTTATGTAGACTAAAAAAATTTCTTTTTTATTAAAAAGTAAAAATAAAAGTTTCTCGTATTAATTTCTACGCAAAATGGTGAGAATTAATGGTCAGACATATATATATGTGGGGTATGCTCTATATATTCACGATATACATTCATGCTTTTTTTTTTATACTCGGATATTTTGGAACAAAGTCATGACTAATTCTTCTCAAATTTGAGGTTCGTGTAATGGATGAGACATGTAGTGATCCGTATAAAAATGTCAATTAAGAAAATACTAAATTAGTTTTTGTAAGAAATACAAACATGAAATCCAATCATTGACTTTTTTTTTTTAAAACTCGTACCTCATTGTTCATGTGATAACCCAAACGGTCCATTCGTTCCAAATCCAATCACGTCTAACGTGAACTTGAGGTCTCGTGTGAACGAAGAAAAAATAAAAAAAATAAACGTTTTTTTCCCTCTTCTTGGATGCCACAGTTTACATCTTATTTTTTTATTAAATAAAAATAAATATTAATTTAATTTTATTGATAGTACATTGTAATATAATGTTATTAATTTATATATATATATATATATATCTTAATATAAAAGATAATGATTTCAATTTAGTTATACAAAATCAAACTAAGATAAATAAATAATATACTCAATTATATATACTTTTTTTAAATAAAATTAAAAAAATTCGACTGTAATTATATATATAATACAAAATAACAGTGAAAATTAAATTCAAATGGATTTTTTAAAATAAATATTTTTCTTAATAAAACAAAATATAAATTGTATTGAATATAAACACCCGATTAATATTTTTAAAATTAAAATATTCAAATTTAAAAAATTTACTTAGGACTAGAAAAATATGCCATTCTAATTCTACCCAAATCTCGCGAATAAATTAATATCATTTTTATTGATCTAGTAATATTTAGTTAGTATATACATGATAAATGAGAGCATCTAATCATAAATAAACCATTTACAAATATTCACTTTGTGGTGACCAAATTTGGCAATTTTCACACTTAAGATTTTTTAAATTATGACTTTTCATGGATATTGTAAATGACAATTAGATTTTAATCATTATGTTGTGCAACTTTTTTTTTCCCGAACTTATGGGATAAAACATAGGAAAACATCGACTGACAAGTAAGCTTATTTTTAAAAATAGGAACACTTTATAATTTGTTGTACATTATAGTTGTGTTCCTAAGAAAAAACACCTAGAAAAAGGGGAAGATCTTTGTCTTAGAACGCAATAAATCACAAATTTTATAGCTTTCTAAAAAAAATTGACCATATTTTATGTTTACATATATAAAATTTCACATTTTGAAAAGCTCAAATTTTTCATGCACTATAAAAGCTTGAGTTTTTTAGTGCTTTTTTAAACATCAGTTTGGTATTTGTCAATTTAAATAATACAAAAATTAACTAAAAACCAGAAATAATGCAATCTAATGTGATAAAATGAGGGTATTTGTTGAAATTCAGAATGGAATGAGAAAAAAAATAACTTAACCCTTTGTGGTGGCAATGTGATATAAGATTTGCTAATATCTCTTAGCACCAAATGCAAATCACTGTGTATTGGAACCATATTATATAATATAGGATATTATATTATTACATAAACCTAGGCCTCTATGTGGCGTTTGGCTTTTCAATTTCAATGGTCACCAAAGCAAGTTCTCAAATGGAATGTAAGGGTTATTTAATTTGTATTGTAGCCATAACAGTTAAAGTTTGACCTATAAAGACATGGGAAAAGGAAAATAACAGAAAAGAAAAGAGGAGAATGAAAAATAACATTAAAAAGGAATGGAGCCCATAAAATATGAGAGAGATATTGAAATGCCCTTTTAACCAATCCACCCGTCATACATATATATGTGTATATGTATATATGCTCGCATCATGGTGGTGATGACGATGACGATGATGATGATGATCTGTCTTAAAGGTAAGAAAATCTCATGAAAGATTTTACTGGTGCCATGTAAAACATCAGAGTCTGTCTGTCCTTAAAATTTTTTTTTTTTTTTGTCTACCATAATGTCAACTCGGAGACATCGGCTCAGTAACCTCAAAGTCCGAAGAAATTAAGCTCTGAGCTCGCTTGCCCGCGTGAGAGAGAATCATGGGTTGTTGTCAATCGTCGATTTTGGGGCCAGATTCAATGGCGGGAGATCAAACCCAGCAGCCGCAGAAAGCGGAAGCCGGCGGCGGAGGCGGAGGAGGAGTCCCACCGTTCTCGGAGTTCTCCTTCGCCGACCTGAAGACGGCGACCAGCAACTTCAGCTCCGACAACATCGTATCAGAGAGCGGAGAGAAAGCCCCCAATCTCGTCTACAAAGGCAGGTTGCAGAACCGCCGTTGGATCGCCGTGAAGAAGTTCACGAAGATGGCTTGGCCTGATCCTAAACAGTTCGCCGTAATACTTCTCTTTCCTGGAAATCCCTTCAAATCGATTGGCTTTTATTTGTGGGTTTTTCATGGAATTCCGAATCGATGGGTGTGTTTCTTTGTTTTCCTTTTTCAGGAGGAGGCATGGCGAGTGGGGAAGTTGAGGCATTCGAGACTGGCGAATTTGATAGGTTATTGCTGTGATGGAGACGAAAGGCTTCTTGTTGCTGAGTTCATGCCAAATGATACCCTTGCTAAGCATTTGTTCCACTGTATGGGTTTGCCCCTTTCTTCTTTCTTCTTGTTTAAAGAGAAAGTTTAGGTTATTGAAAGATATGCAGAACCATAAAATATGCTGGATCTTCTCCCATATATTTTGCTGGATCTTCTGCCATGCTTGGTGAATGTCTAGGAGAAGTTTCTGCTTGCATTTCTCGTTTCTGCCACAAGGGTTTGCTATATATAGTTCAAAGAGAAAGTTTAGGTCATTGAAAGAAATGCAGAACCGAAATATATGGAATGTATTTGCTTCGAATTCCATGAACCATAACAGTATTTGCTCATCGGTATTGTTCTATCGCTACCATCTCGTACCATTTCTTCGTGTCCCCGTAGTTCTTCCTCGAGTGAGATTTGGCCATTTTCTTGTTTTGCCATCTGCAGGGGAAAATCAAACCATTGAATGGGCAATGCGTTTACGAGTAGCTTATTATATAGCCGAAGCTCTGGATTATTGTAGCAGTGAGGGCCATCCATTGTACCATGATTTAAATGCTTACAGGGTTCTCTTTGATGAGGTGTTTTTCATTCTTCTATCAGAAATTTTTCATGATTAAGTCATGAATGTGACGATTTCTGATTTAGGGTGTTAATCTGATTCTTAATGAATATTATACAGGATGGCGATCCTCGTCTATCATGTTTTGGCTTGATGAAGAACAGCAGAGATGGTAAAAGTTATAGCACAAATCTTGCGTATACACCTCCCGAGTATCTAAGGAACGGTAATCATTTCACGGTTCTCTTAACTTATCGGTTATGATGTCATGTTATGTTTCTATGATTTACATGCAATGTATAACTCAGTGTTTTGTTTCGACACTCTCCACCTTGCAAGAACGATTTTTCCCCGTTGGATTTATTCATTATCCATGACCTTGTGTTGTAGGAAGAGTGACCCATGAAAGTGTTATGTTCAGCTTCGGCACTGTCCTTCTCGATTTGCTCAGCGGAAAGCACATCCCTCCAAGTCATGTAAGCTCCTTGATAAGAAAGATTGCCGATGCTTTGTACGGTTTCGTATATCTCGAAAGAGGCATATGGAAATTTGTGTAATAAAAGTCGATAGTTACGGGAAGTAATCAGCTGATATCTTCTGGTTATAGGCTCTTGATATGATTCGTGGCAAAAACATTATTCTGTTGATGGATTCGCACCTCGAGGGAAAGTTCTCCACAGAAGAAGCTACGGCTGTCGTTGAACTCGCATCTCGGTGTTTGCAGTATGAGCCTAGAGAGAGGCCCAATACGATGGATCTCGTCGCAACACTTGCGCCATTGGAAACTAAATCCGATGTAAGGAACTCGTGTCTTTCTGTTCAAGTTTTGGATTCAATCTTTGTAACAGAACCTCCGGTTTCAGGTTCCGTCTCATGTAATCCTTGGAATCGCGAAACATGAGGATGCGCCTCCTACCCCACAACGTCGGCTCTCACCGTTGGGCGAGGCTTGTTCGAGAATGGATCTCACGGCAATTCATCAAATCTTGGTCATGACACATTACAGGGATGACGAAGGAACAAACGAGGTATGAAACTTGTGAGTTTTTCAAGAACTAACCCGTTAAGAGTCTAATCTCGGGTCTGCATGATCCTTTTTTTCCAGTTGTCTTTCCAAGAATGGACACAACAAATGAAAGATATGCTGGAAGCTCGGAAACGAGGCGATTATGCCTTCCGGGACAAAGATTTCAAGACTGCCACCGACTGCTACTCTCAGGTATGACATTATGAACAATCTCATTTCTTATTTTCGAGTAGGAAACCCCATACTCTAAATATCTACAATGTTATTAGCCATTTGAAACATTATTAATAAGATGGAACTGGTCTCGTTTCAGTTTATAGAAGTAGGAACAATGGTATCGCCGACTGTTTTTGCGAGGCGGAGTCTATGCTATCTGTTGAGCGATCAACCGGACGCAGCCCTAAGGGATGCGATGCAGGCGCAGTGCGTGTATCCCGACTGGCCCACGGCCTTCTATATGCAGTCTGTGGCTTTAGCTAAGCTAAACATGCACAATGATGCAGCCAATATGTTGAACGAAGCCACTCTGCTCGAAGAGAAGCGGCAGCGTGGCGGGAAAGGATCGTAGTGTTTTTTTTACGAGGTTTTTCTTCGGAAATGTCTGTAAAATCTGATGAGAGGGGAGAGAGAGAGAGAGAGAGATGGCTTTTGTTGTTGTTGATTGGGATTGTAACACAAGGGGATGATGATGAAAGATGTTTGTTGTATCCAATTCAAAAATGTTCAATTCTTTGATCTCTTTGGTTGCCATTGTTGGTGTCTGGTAACAGATTTATCTTTTTTGAGGTATCGGGTAGTAAAAAAGACGCTTTTTTCAGACATGATGGAAGGAGAATGAGACAGCAACAAACTGAACATCTTCCATGTCCGAGGGAGAAAGAATCTGCAGTACACTAAGCTCTATAATTCCATCATTCCAACAAGAAGGGACTTGACAAAAAGAAAAACAAAACCCGGATTGTATAACACCGTTTGCAAAGAGTTGCCTTTGTTTTCGGATTCAATCTCTCTGTATCTTCAGACAAGATCCGAGACTCGAGGAGCAGTGGTTGCGCATGGATTTTGGGAGTTGAATATATGCACGAGTGGTGGCTGTAGAATCTGTTCCATGGAGACAGGCCAAGCTGGATTCCACCATTAATATGAGCTGTTGGGTTGGTTGGAGAGTGACAATGCAGAAACATCACCGGTTAATTATCTAATTGCTAAACGCATCTCTGCTTCTTGATTGCAGAGGTTGAGATTCTTCTTGTCTCTCTGGGATGAGTTGTATATATATGCATTGGCCTAGGAGGAGATGAAGGCAAGAAGAACGTCTTATCTCTCTCTCTCTCTGTCTCTGAGTCTTTTCTAAAAAAAATGGCAGCTGCTTTCCACGTTCGTTCTAACAGCTTCCCCTCGAGGCCACACCCTCAAGCTGTTCATGTGGATGAGCAGTTGATCAGATTGAGATCCTCTGAATCCGCCTCGACGACTTCTTCCTCTTGTATTGGACAAAGACTTTGCGACCTTCAGGATTTGTACGATTCCCTCGAGAAGCTCCTTCGCTTACCCGTCACCGAGCAAACCATTGACAAGAAAGCCGTGGACAAGCTCCTTGATGGATCTCTCAGGGTATTGGATTTCTGTAACATTACAAAGGATGCTCTGTCTCAGACAAAAGAGTGTCTCAACGAGATCCAATCAATCCTACGGAGAAAACGCGGAGATCTTTCGAGCGAGGTTAAGAAATACTTGGCCTCACGAAGATCCCTCAAGAAGTCATTCCAGAAAGTCCTCAAGAGTTTGAAGGCCACAGATGGCGACGAGTCTCTACCTGTGTTTGGAGAAGCAGAAGCTCTGACAATTTCCGCGTTCCGTTCTCTGTTTTCCTTCATGTCTGAATCGACAACTCCTTCTGGCAAATGGTCGCTGGTCTCGAAGCTGAGGAACCATAAAAGAGTTTCCTGTGAAGCACAAACTGCAAATGAGTTTTCAGAGCTCGATTCTGCATTTCAGTCCTTCGCCGAGAACAAGTCTGAAAATCCGTTGAAAATGGAGGACGTGAAGAGGCTGGAGAGCTGCGTCCAAGATCTGGGAGAGGGGATCGAGTCTCTCTTCAAATCTTTGATGAAATACAGAGTCTCTCTTCTTAACACCTTTGGCCACTGAGCCTGTAGAGATTGTACCAAAGAAAGCATCATACTTGTAAATGAGTACATACAAACAACGAATACAAGAAAATTTTCTATATAAACTATTTTCCTGGAATTTTCGATTCATTTCCCATCAAAGAACAAAACCTGACGAGAAACAAGAACGCAAGCTCACATTCAACAAACAGTTGAACTGAGAATCTGTAACTGCAACCGCCTGGTGAATCTCAAATTTTACCGTCCCATCTTCACAGTGAAAAACGTTTTTACGTTGAAGGAAACGTCAACCGCATGAATCCACTCACCGCGTCGAGATTCCCACACGTTTTCTGCAATAAACAATCCGAAGCATGCGCCTTTGGCGGGGAACAGTCCAGAGTTCACATGCCATTATCGGCGGATATGGATCTTGTCGGAAACTCCATTGTTAAGAAAAAGGCTGTTCTATATGTTTCTTGATTTTGTGAAGATGGTTGCACGAATACTGGGCATGTCTAAAATGTATAATCTAACAAAATACATGAAGAAGGATTCATGCGGCCGACCCCAAATGAACTTGGGAATGAGGCGATGTCGTCGTTGTTGTAACAAAGTACACGAGTATTCTCGTTTCTTTTAACCCAAGAAACCGTGAAAAACCATGGCACTGCAGATTTACTTCCTCTGTTTTCGAGTTACTCCTCCTGGTCTGATCGTGGAATCACGTGTAATGGATCTGAAGGATTTAAAAAAAAATTCCATATTCACCGATTTTGTATCTGATAAACTTTGAATCTTTCAATGCATATGTATAGATCTGCAAGTTTGTATAGGTCTGCGAGTTTATCATTTTCATGGACCATAAATGTTCATGAAGCCTGTAAAATATTCAGAAACCAGACATCCAACGATTGACACACGAGGGGCCTTGCAATAACGAAAACTTGTCCCGCCATGGACGACGTGGAGTTTCCTTCTTTACCGGCTTCTATCTCAAGATCTGTGAGGCTACAGACAAGATCTGAGACAATGGATATTAAAGTTCAGCTGTTGCACCAGAAACTCCGGTTTCACCTTCTCCAAGGGGACAAAGCCAAGCTGGATTGTGCAATAATAAGATGGAGGAGAAGCTCGTGCGGTTGCACATTTTTTATATAAGATAATACAAGATCGCCATGTTAGGTATGGTGAGAGAATCTGAATCATATCTCCTTGGAGGGGACATAGCGGAAACATCGTTGATCATGATTCCAGTTGGAACCACGTTTTCTGCTCCAAACCATTGATGGGTCTATACATATATATACACACATGCATTGGCCTGAAAGGAAATGAAGGCAGAATCATCTTAGCTCTTCAAACCCTTTTCTCGGTCTTCAAACGCAAACGAAAGAAAAAAAATGGCATCTGCTTTCCACGTTCGTTCTAACAGCTTCCCCTCGAGGCAACACCCTCAAGCTGTTCATGTCGATGAGCAGTTGTGCCGGTTGAGATCTTCTGAAACTGCTTCTACATCATCTTCTTCCTCTTGTATCGGACAAAGACTTTGGGATCTTCAAGATTTGCACGATTCCCTCGAGAAGCTCCTTCGCTTACCCGTCACCCAGCAGACCCTTGACAAGAAAGCGGTCGAGAAGCTTCTTGATGGATCCCTCAGGATCTTGGATCTCTGCTACATGACAAAGGATGCTTTGTCTCAGACCAAAGAATGTCTCAACGAGATCCAATCGATCCTACGGAGAAAACGCGGAGATCTTTCAAGCGAGGTTAAGAAATACTTGGCCTCAAGAAGATCCCTCAAGAAGTCATTCCAGAAAGTCCTCAAGAGTTTGAAGGCCACTAATGGCGACGAGTCTCTACCTGTGTTTGGAGAAGCAGAAGCTCTGACGATTTCCGCGTTCCGTTCCCTGATTTCCTTCGTGTCTGCATCGACAACTCCTTCTGGCAAATGGTCGCTGGTCTCGAAGCTGATTAACCACAAAAGAGTTGCATGTGAAGCACAAACTGCAAACGAGTTTTCAGAGCTCGATTCTGCATTTCAGTCCTTCGCCGAGAACAAGTCTGAAAATCCGTTGAAAATGGAGGATGTGAAGAGGCTGGAGAGCTGCGTCCAAGATGTGGGAGAGGGGATCGAGTCTCTCTTCAAATCCCTGATGAAATACAGAGTCTCTCTTCTTAACACCTTTGGCCACTAAGCCTGTAGAGATTGTACCAAAGAAAGCATCATACTTGTAAATGAGTACACATACAAACAACGAATACAAGAAAATTTTCCATATAACTCAGTTCTTGTCTTCCTTTCTAATTTCGATGCTTTTCCAATCAAAGAACAAGATCAACTTCTGAAAAATTCTGATACAATGGTGGTGAGATCAGAAAATACACAATGGTGACAATTTTTTTTATAGCAATTCTCACGGTTTAACCAGGTGGTAAAACAGTACAAAGATGCAGTAAAACTCTAAAGATTTCATACTGATGCTTATAATGTGATGTCAGTACACGTTATCTGCAATAATAACTCCAAAGCGTGTCCTAAGTCACCTTCTTCCCCGGCTTCTATCACAGCGCAGGAGGCAAACAAGTTGCAGAGCCCTCGTGCACATACATGATTGTTGCATTTTATATTCATCACCTCTCTGTATCATGTATGTATATATATGTACGTATGTATCATTTGAGGGAGGTGCAGACAAAGGGAATCTCACCCTCATGATTCCAGATACAGAGCTGTGTGATCAGCAATGTCGATGCAGTGTCTCCCTCCGCAAGCTCATTTCTCCCTTAAACAAAAGAAAACGATTCTTCCATTGGCACATGAATCATTTGAATCATATCATAGAATAATCAAAACCCACACGAGCATACATTATATATATCTGAACCCACATGCATGCACATGCACAAGCTTAAACATATTATCTTCATCGCATGATAATGTGTTAATGAGAGTGTGGCCGGAGGGGGGACATTCCACAGACAATCGCTGATCATGAATTCAATTATCGTCCCATTCCCAAGGATGAGACTCCTTCTATATCTTCCTCCGCTGCTGAATTATCTATATATATATATTGAACTGAAACGCCATGAAAGCAAAGCAGATTGAGAAAGAGCAAAAACACGCATCTTCCCTCTCTTCTGAAAACAAATACAGAGACAAAATCTCTGGCTCAGGAGAAGAACAAGGAATCCATGGAAACAGATTCTTGATGGTTCTCTCAGGCTCTTGGAGGGGTCTGCAACATCGCCAAGGACGCTTTGTCTCGGACTAGAGAGGGTCTGAATTAATGAGATCCAATCGATTCTGGGAAGAAAGAGAGGAGATTCAACGAGCGACGTGAAGAAATACTTAGCCTCGAGAAAGTCCCCAAGGAAGTCACCGGAGAAAGCGATGAATAGGGTTTGAAGGCCACTGAGAATCAAAGCAGCAACGATGAAGCTTTGGCTGTAAAAATCAGTTTTGAACTGAAAAAAAAAAGATAATGGCATATAAATAACTATAAACTTTTATAAAATTCTCGAATAAATAACGAAACTATAAAACTTCTAAATAAATACCTAAATTTTTTAAAATTTCTATATAAATACTAAAACTTTTAAAAATTTGTTAAATAAAATAATATTTATTGACGGCGTTAAACGATCGAGTCATCAATTTTCGTCAGATTCTATTAAAGTTAAACCACGTTAGTTAATCGATTTTAGTTTTTATTTGGTAAATTTTTAAAAATCTGGATATTTATATAAAATTTTTGAAAAATTCAGATATTTATTTAAGAATTTTGTAGTTTAGATATTTGTTTGGGAATTTTATAAAAATTCATGTATTTATATATGATTACAAAAAAAAGAAACAATGGATTCGTATATTAAAAAGAGGGAATTAGAAAATTAATATATGAACTTGTCAAAATTTTCAAAATAAAACTTTAATTTTAATTTTTGCCTTTTAAAATATAAATTTTGAAATTCATACTTAAATAAACTTAAATTTTATAAACCATATCAAATTTAATCTTTTGTGTCAATTTTAGATTTGTCACGTAGATGACATGAAAATATTTTGTCAAAGTCAAAATCATCACGTCATCATTCGATTTACCACCTTAGCGTTTAAGGTTAAATTTGATATGATTTATAAAATTTAGGTTTATTTAAACATAAATTTTAAAAATTAGGTTTTATAAGTCAAAAATTAAAATTGAGATTTTATTTTGAAAATTTCAACAAATTCAAGTATTAATATTCTAATTTTTCAAAAAATAAAAAGTAAAAAATAAAAACAAGAATTAATTAATTGTCTTTTTTAAACCGTGACGTTTACAATTTGTCACCAAAAATTTTAGAACCATTGCTCTTTTTTTTCCGTAAAATTTTGATTTATTTACAATCTGATATTAGAACAAATTTAACACTGCAAACTTTGTTCTGTAAATATACAACCAAATTATTACAAAACAAAAAAATCAAACAAATAAAATTAAAATGGGGAAGCGCAACAAGTCTGTAAAATCCACGTGTTTGCATGCATGGCTCTTCGCACCCCGAGCCTGTCTATTTGTTTCCACACGCCTCTCTCTCTGACCCTTCGCATCTCTCCACACGCCTCTCTCTCTGACCCTTCGCATCTCTCTCTCCCCCCTCCCCAATGGCCGACGGAAACCCTAACCAGATCCCCATCTACGGCGGCGGCGGCCACAACGCAGCGGCACTCCTCCGGCAGCTCCGGTCCCACGGCCCGACCTCGGCGCAGTTATTCGGTTTCCTCGCATTCTTCATCTCCGGCGGGATCCTCCTCTTCCTCACCGGCGTCACTGTCACCGCCTCCGTCCTCGGTTTCATCGCTTTTCTACCATTGATCATCATCTCAAGCCCGGTCTGGTAATATTTCATGATTCACCCCACGTATTATGCATGCATGCAAAACAATGGTCTAATTTGATTTCGTTAGGGTTTGTTTTCCTATATTTTCTTCTTTGTATTTAAGATAATTTGTTGATAAATACATAGTAAATTTCATTTACGAGACACGATCGGATGATATTTCAATAAATCTGAATCCTTGATTCACATTGTACATGTGAATTGAATAAATAATGCATTACAGTTTGGATCATTGAACTTTGAACATCTTTTATCAAAAAAAAAAAACTTTGAACATCTTTAACAAAAAAAAACTTTGAACATATGGATTGAATGAATTGAATCTGTGATATTTTTAAAAAAATTGTTCAAAAACTCGAAACCACACATACATAAAATCTTGCAACACAAAAAAAAAAATACAAATTAACGCATGAAATTTCACAGGGTCCCCGTGGTGGTCCTCGTGGGCGGGTTCTTGACCGTGGCGGGATCGATCGTGGGGACAGCTGCGGTCGTGTCGTGGACGTACAGGTATCTACGTGGCATGCACCCGGTCGGGTCGGACCAGGTAGATTATGCCCGGACTCGGATCTATGATACGGCGGCTCACGTCAAAGACTATGCAAGAGAGTACGGTGGTTACCTCCAAAGCAGGGTCAAGGATGCGGCTCCTGGTGCCTGAACCGGACCGGTCTGGTTCTGGTTTTGGACGGTTCAGGAAAAGGTCGGTTTGCCCCCTTTTTTTACTTAATTTTGTGGTTTAGCTTTTTTTTTGGTTATATGTATCATGAGATTATAATTTGAACTTTGAAGATTTTGGTGCATGTGTTTGTATTTAAATGTCACTTGTGACTAGGAGTTTTTTTTAGCGTTTTCCATTTAATTAAATTCTTTAATTCCAATACCCTTTAATTAACAAAGTTGTCATGAGTTTTTTTTTTGTTTCTTAGCAATGGCAAAGAGTAAAAAAATAAACAAAATGTAATTTAGGACATATCTTTGTAAAACTTTTTTTAAAATGCCTAAACTATTCTTTCATATCAACTAAAAAAAAAATCCCAAGCGTGGGAGGGGCTCGGGGAGGCCCTCCAACGTTTTATTACCGGTCATATTCTATCTTTACCTCCAACGTTTTATTTTTATTTTTCAATTTATCCATTTTCGGTATATATATTTCTCTTCGTCTCTCATTTTCTTCCATTGTAATAGAAAATATTAGTTTTCTTGTTGCTCGTTTTTTCCCCCTTCTTACGTGATCATTCACTACTGTCCAAGAACCAACTGAACATAAAAACAAATCAGAATCTGAAAAAAAAAATGCATTCGTATATTCAAGAGCAAGAAAAAAAATGAAAAGATTCTTTAGGTACTTAACCGATGGATGAACCACCCTTCAAAGATAACATCGGATCTTCACGAGCGGCTTAACCATGATTGAGAGGCAAGCCAGCTCTTACGCATTGTCCTGCAATCATGAAATGAGACATTGTTTAATAGCCACTCGTGTGACTGAACCGTGATTGCTATGCAGAAAGCAGACACGATCCGATACAATTCAGTATCGTCTCCTCTTCTTTCGGGAAACGACATTGCACGTTGCATTATTCTGATCACGAACACGTCTTTGTTTCTTGGGTTTGGAGGATGAGATTCCTTTTGTCTCCCACCTTGATCGTGTATATATAGATATCGAGCAGAAGGGCGATGAAGGCAAGAACATCTCAGCACTCAAACGCATTTTCTCTACCTCGAAACCAAACCAGAAGAAAAACAGCAAAAAAGATGGCAGCAACCTTCCACGTTCGTTCCAACAGCTTTCCCACAAGGCAACACCCTCAAGCTGCTCATGTGGAAGAGCAGTTGTGCCGGTTGAGATCCTCTGAAGCCACCTCCACATCTTCTTCCTCTTCTATTGGACAAAGACTAACCGACCTCCAGGATTTGCACGATTCCCTCGAGAAGCTCCTTCGCTTACCCTTCACCCAGCAAACCCTTGACAAGAAAGCCGTCGAGAAGCTTCTTGATGGATCTCTCAACATATTGGATTTCTGTAACATTACAAAGGATGCTCTGTCTCAGACAAAAGAGTGTCTCAACGAGATCCAATCAATCCTACGGAGAAAACGCGGAGATCTTTCGAGCGAAGTTAAGAAATACTTGGCCTCACGAAGATCCCTCAAGAAGTCATTCCAGAAAGTACTCAAGAGTTTGAAGGCCACCAATGGCGACGAATCTCTGACTGTGTTTGGAGAAGCTGAAGGTCTGACAATTTCTCTGTTTGATTCTCTGTTTTCCTTCGTGTCTGAATCAACAACACCTTCTGGCAAATGGTCGCTGGTCTCGAAGCTGATGAACCATAAAAGAGTTGCATGTGAAGCACAAACTGCAAACGAGTTTGCAAAGGTTGATTCTGCATTTCAGTCCTTCGCCGAGAACAAGTCTGAAAATCCGTTGAAAATGGAGGATGTGAAGAGGCTGGAGAGCTGCGTCCAAGATCTGGAAGAGGGGATCGAGTCTCTCTTCAAATCTTTGATGAAATACAGAGTCTCTCTTCTTAACACATTTGGCCACTAAGCCTGTAGAGTTCGTGTATAAGAAAGCATCATACTTGTAAATGAGTACATAGAAACAATGAATACAAGGAATTTAGCATATAACTATTTGTTACTGTTCCTTTGTAATTTTGATCCTTTTCCAATCAAAGAACAAGATCAACTAAGAAACAAACTTCTGAAAAATGTTCTGATGCAATACTGGCTTAAATTGTTTTAGCAGTTCTCACAGTTTAACCAGGTGGTTTAACAGTAAAGGATGCAGTAAAATTCTAAGATTTCATACCGATGATTATAATATTTTTCAGCACACGTTATCTGCAATGATAGCTCCAAAGCGTGTCCTAGTGGTCCGGGAAAACAAAGTCAGGAAACCTTACAAGTCTTCCGTAGGTGTGGTTTCACATGCCATAACCGTTGGATGTGGATCTTGTCTGAATGCGCGCGTGAATTTCCATAGGCTTAGCAACTTGTCGATGAGGCTGGAAACTGGACAGCTTGCTAACTTCTTACATCAAACTGGATTTTGACATAACCTACGCATTTCGTAACAGATTTCATTCAGATTCAGTACCTCTCGAGGAAGAAAAATACTGAAAATGGTGACAACACATTTATAGATCAGACATAATCATCATGATATGGATGTTAAATGTTTCAGGGAAGTTAGAATGTAACCAAACGCACGAGTGCCTATTAGTATAAAACAATGAAAACGTTATTGGCCATACTTCAATATAGAGTCACCTTCTTCCTCGGTTTCTATCACAGCACAGAAGGCAGACAATTTGCAGAGCACTCGTGCATATACACGTTCTTATTCATGAATGTTGCATATTCTATTTATCACCTTTCTGTATCATATATATAAATCATTTGAGGAGGAAGGTGTAGATAAAAGGAATCTCACCCTCATTATGATTCCAGAGACAGAGCGTGTGATCAGCAATGTCGATGCAGTGTCTCCCTCCACAAGCTCATTGCCCCTTAAACAAAAGAAAAGGATTCTTCTATGGGCACATTAGTCATTTGAATCATATCATAAAATAATCAAAATCCACACGAGCACCATCTTGTCAGCTTGTCAATGCCTTGAGTAGACAATGATGACGGAACTATTTGTTCATATATTATATCTGAACACATATGCATGCACATGCACAAGTTTAACCATATCATCCTTATCACATGATAATGAGAGTGTGGGCGGAGGGGGGACACTCCACAGACATCGCTGATCATGAATTCAATTATTGCCAGAGGGATGAGACACTTCACACATTCCTCTGCATCTGATTTATATATATACATTGACCTGAAACAAGATGAAAGCAAAGCAGATTGACAAAAAGCAAATACCCACGTCTTCCCTCTCTTCTGAAATCAAATACAGAGACAAAACAATGGCAGCTACTCACCATGTCCGTTCTAACAGCTTTCCCTCGAGGCCACACCCTCAATCAGCTCTTGTAGAGGATCATTTGATCAGATTGAGATCCTCTGAAGCAGCCTCTACATCTTCTTCCTTTTCCATCTGCCAGAGACTAAACGGCCTTCAAGATTTGTACGCTTCCATTTACGATATGCTTCAGCTACCCTTCACCCAACAATCTCTGGCTCAGGAGAAGAACAAGGAATCAATCGAACAGATTCTTGATGGTTCTCTCAGGCTCTTGGAGGTCTGCAACATCGCCAAGGACGCTTTGTCTCAGACTAAAGAGGGTCTGAATGAAATCCAATCGATATTGAGAAGAAAGAGAGGAGATTTAACAAGCGAGGTGAGGAAATACTTAGCCTCGAGAAAGTCCCTAAGAAAGTCACTGGAGAAAGTGATGAAGGGTTTGAAGGCCACTGAGAATCAAAGCAGCAAAGATGGAGCTTTGGCTGTGTTGGAAGAAGCTGAAGCTGTCACTGTCTCTGCTTTCGATACTCTTCTGCGGTTCATCTCCAGCTCCAAGTCCGGAAAATGGTCATTGGTTTCAAGGCTGATGAAGCAGAGAAGAGTTTCATCATGTGAAGGAGAGGCCATTGAAGCAAATGAATTTGAACAAGTGGATAAAGCATTCACCATGTTTGTCGAGAAAAAGTCGAAGCAGTCCTTGAAAGTGGAGGATGTTCAAAGCTTAGAGATGAGCATTCAAGATCTTGAAGAGGGACTTGAGACACTCTTTAAATCCATGATTAGAGTTAGAGCCTCTGTACTAAATATGTGATCCTGTAAAAATCAGTTTTGAAATGAAAAAAAAATAAAAATCAAAGTTTCTCATATTGCTTGTTGCTCATTTTTTTTCCTTCTAGCATGATCATTCGCTACTGTCCAAGAACCAACTGAACGTAAAAGAATCATTACACAAATCAGAATCTGGAAAAAACATGCATTCGTCTATTCAAGAACAAGAAAAAATGACAAAGGCTGGTTTCATCTTTCCTTAACTTTAGTTTAACAGTTAACTATATTATAATGCAGATTGCAGATGATATGAATACTTACTGTAATAAAATGATAATTCAGAAAATTAAATACGAGACGGGAGGGAGGGAGACATGAGGAATCTCACCCTCTTGGACTTAGCATCAGAAGCGTGATTATCAGAGAATGTCTATGCATTGTCTCCCTCCTCCAACCTCCACAACTCATTTCCCCATAAACTAATGAAAAGATTCTTTAGTGACTTTACCGATGAATCCTCCAAAGATAACATCAGATCTTCTCGGGCGGCTTAACCATGATTGAGAGGCAAGCTTAGCCAGCTCTTATGCATTGTCCTGCAACCATGAAATGAGACATTGTTTAATAGCCACTCGTGTAACTGAACCGTGATTGCTATGCAGAAAGCAGACATGATCCGATATAATTCAGTACCGTCTCCTTTTCTTTCGGGAAAAATGACATTGCACGTTGCATTATTCTGATCATTAACACGTCTTTGTTTCTTGGGTTTGGAGGATGAGATTCCTTTTGTCTCCCACCTTGATCGTGTATATATAGATATCGAGCAGAAAGGCGATGAAGGCAAAAACATCTCAGCACTCAAACGCATTTTCTCTATTTCAATACCAAACCAGAAGAAAAACAGCAAAAAAGATGGCAGCAACCTTCCACATTCGTTCGAACAGCTTTCCCTCAAGGCAACACCCTCAAGCTGCTCATGTGGAAGAGCAGTTGTGCCGGTTGAGATCTTCTGAAGCCACCTCTACATCTTCTTCCTCTTCTATTGGACAAAGACTAACCGACCTCCAGGATTTGCACGATTCCCTCGAGAAGCTCCTTCGCTTACCCTTCACCCAGCAAACCCTTGACAAGAAAGCCGTCGAGAAGCTTCTTGATGGATCTCTCAGGATCTTGGACCTCTGCAACATGACAAAGGATGCTTTGTCTCAGACAAAAGAGTGTCTCAACGAGATCCAATCAATTCTACGGAGAAAACGTGGAGATCTTTCGAGCGAAGTTAAGAAATACTTGGCCTCACGAAGATCCCTCAAGAAGTCATTCCAGAAAGTACTCAAGAGTTTGGAGGCCACCAATGGCGACGAATCTCTGACTGTGTTTGGAGAAGCTGAAGGTCTGACAATTTCTCTGTTTGATTCTCTGTTTTCCTTCGTGTCTGAATCAACAACACCTTCTGGCAAATGGTCGCTGGTCTCGAAGCTGATGAACCATAAAAGAGTTGCATGTGAAGCACAAACTGCAAACGAGTTTGCAAAGGTTGATTCTGCATTTCAGTCCTTCACCGAGAACAAGTCTGAAAATACGTTGAAAATGGAGGATGTGAAGAGGCTGGAGAGCTGCGTCCAAGATCTGGAAGAGGGGATCGAGTCTCTCTTCAAATCTTTGATGAAATACAGAGTCTCTCTTCTTAACACATTTGGCCACTAAGCCTGTAGAGTTCGTGTATAAGAAAGCATCATACTTGTAAATGAGTACATAGAAACAATGAATACAAGGAATTTAGCATATAACTATTTGTTACTGTTCCTTTGTAATTTTGATCCTTTTCCAATCAAAGAACAAGATTAACTAAGAAACATACTTCTGAAAAATGTTCTGATGCAATACTGGCTTAAATTGTTTTAGCAGTTCTCACAGTTTAACCAGGTGGTTTAACAGTAAAGGATGCAGTAAAATTCTAAGATTTCATACCGATGATTATAATATTTTTCAGCACACGTTATCTGCAATGATAGCTCCAAAGCGTGTCCTAGTGGTCCGGGAAAACAAAGTCAGGAAACCTTACAAGTCTTCCGTAGGTGTGGTTTCACATGCCATAACAGTTGGATGTGGATCTTGTCTGAATGCGCGTGTGAATGTCCATTGGCTTAGAAACTTGTCGATGAGGCTGGAAACTGGACAGCTTGCTAAATTCTTACATCAAACTGGATTTTGACATAACCTACGCATTTCGTAACAGATTTCATTCAGATTCAGTACCTCTGGAGGATGAAAAATCCTGAAAATGGTGACAACACATGTATAGATCTGTCATAATCATCATGATATGGATGTTAAATGTTTCAGGGAAGTTAGAATGTAACCAAACGCACGAGTGCCTATTAGTATAAAATAATGAAAACGTTATTGGCCGTACTTCAATATAGGGTCACCTTCTTCCTCGGCTTCTATGACAGCACAGAAGGCAAACAAGTTGCAGAGCACTCGTGCATATACACGTTCTTATTCATGATTGTTGCATATTATATTCATCACCTTTCTGTATCATATATATATATATATATATATATATATATATTATTTGAGGAGGGAGATGTAGACAAAAGGAATCTCACCCTCATTATGATTCCAGAGACAGAGCATGTGATCAGCAATGTCGATGCAGTGTCTCCCTCCACAAGCTCATTGCCCCTTAAACAAAAGAAAAGGATTCTTCTATGGGCACATGAGTCATTTGAATCATATCATAAAATAATCAACCCACACGAGCATCATCTTGTCAGCTTGTCAATGCCTCAAGTAGACAATGATGATGGAACTACGTGTTCATATATTATATCTGAACACACATGCATGCACATGCACAAGCTTAACTACATTATCATTATCACATAATCACAAGTTAATGAGAGTGTGGCAGGAGGGGGACATTGCACAGACATTGCTGATCATCAATTCAATTATCACCTCTTTGCCAGAGGATGAGACTCCTCACATATTCCTCTACTGTTGATATATATTGACCTGAAACACGATGAAAGCAAATCAGATTAAGAAAAAGCTTAAACACCCATCTTCTCTCTCTCTCTCTCCCCCTCGAAAGCCTTTCTCTTCTGGAAACCAATACTGAAGCAAAACAATGGCAGTTACTCACCATGTCCGCTCTAACAGCTTCCCCTCGAGGCCACACCCACAAGCTGCTCTTGTAGAGGATCATTTGATCAGATTCCGATCCTCTGAAGCAGCGTCTACATCATCTTCCTCTTGCATCTGCCAGAGATTAAATGGCCTTCAAGATTTGCACGTTTCCATTTACGATCTGCTTCAGCTACCATTCACCCAACAATCTCTGGCTCAGGAGAAAAACAAGAAATCCATCGAACAGATTCTTGATGGTTCTCTCAGGCTCTTGGAGGTCTGCAACATCGCCAAGGACGCTTTGTATCAGACTAAAGAGGGTCTGAATGAAATCCAATCGCTTCTGAGAAGAAAGAGAGGAGATTTAACAAGCGAGGTGAGGAAATACTTAGCCTCGAGAAAGTCGTTAAGAAAGTCACTGGAGAAAGTGATGAAGGGTTTGAAGGCCACTGAGAATCAAAGCAGCAATGATGAAGCTTTGGCTGTGTTGGAAGAAGCTGAAGCTGTCACCATCTCTGCTTTCGATACTCTTCTGCGATTCATCTCCTCTGCTAATTCCGGAAAATGGTCATTGGTTTCAAGGCTGATGAAGCAGAGAAGAGTTTCATCATGTGAAGGAGAAGACATTGAAGCAAATGAATTTGAACAAGTGGATAATGCATTCACCATGTTTGTCGAGAAAAAGTCGAAGCAGTCCTTCAAAGTGGAGGATGTGCAGAGCTTAGAGATGACTATTCAAGATCTTGAAGAGGGACTTGAGACACTCTTTAGATCCATGATTAGAATTAGAGCCTCTGTACTAAATATGTGATCCTGTAAAAAGCAGTTTTGAAATGAAAAAAACATCGAAGTTTCTCATATTTTTTTTATTGTTGCTCGTTTTTTCTACTAACATGATCATTCGCTATTGCTCCAGAACGAACTGAACATAAAAGTATCATTGCACAAATCAGAATCTGAAAAAAAAATTCATTTGTATATTCAAGAACAAGAAAAAATGACAAAGGCTGGTTTCATCTTTCCTTCACTTTAATTTAATGTGTTAACTATATTATTTAATGCATCTAGATGATATGAATACTTACTGTAATAAAATGATAACTAAGAAAATTAAATATGAGATGGGTGGGAGGGAGATATGAGGAATCTCAACCTCTGGAACTTAGCATCTGAAACGTGATTATAATGTGAAATACACACAAGGAGTACCAGAAAATGTCTATGCAGTGTCTCCCTCCTCCAAACTCCACAACTCATTTCCCCATAAACTAATGAAAAGATCCTTTAGTTACCTAACCGATGGACGGGCCCTTCAATGATAACATCGGATCTTCACGAGCGGCTTAACCATGATTGAGAGGCAAGCCAGCTCTTACGCATTGTCCTGCAACCATGAAATGAGACATTGTTTAATAGCCACTCGTGTAACTGAAACGTGATTGCTATGCAGAAAGCAGACATGATCCGATATAATTCAGTATCATCTCCTTTTCTTTCGGGAAAAATGACATTGCACGTTGCATTATTCTAACATGAACACGTCTTTGTTTCTTGGGTTTGGAGGATGGGATTCCTTTTGTCTCCTCCTTGATCGTGTATATATAGATATGGAGCAGAATGGCGATGAAGGCAAGAACATCTTACCACTCAAACGCATTTTCTCTACCTCGAAAACAAACCAGAAGCAAGAAAAAAAAAAGATGGCAGCAACCTTCCACGTTCGTTCTAACAGCTTTCCCTCGAGGCCACACCCTCAAGCTGCTCATGTAAACGAGCAGTTGATCAGATTGAGATCCTCTGAAGCCGCTTCTACATCATCTTCTTCCTCTTGTATCGGACAAAGACTTAGCGATGTTCAAGATTTGTACGATTCCCTCGAGAAGCTCCTTCGCTTACCCGTCACCGAGCAAACCCTTGACAATAAAGCCGTCGAGCATCTTCTTGATGGATCTCTCAGGATATTGGATTTCTGCAACATTTCCAAAGATGCTTTGTCTCAGACAAAAGAGTGTCTCAAGGAGATCCAATCAATTCTACGAAGAAAACGCGGAGATCTGTCAAGCGAAGTTAAGAAATACTTGGCCTTAAGAAGATCCCTCAAGAAGTCATTCCACAAACTCCTCAAGAGTTTGAAGGTCACTAATAGCGACGAGTCTCAGGCTGTGTTCGGAGAAGCAGAAGCTCTGACAATTTCTCTGTTCCGTTCTCTGTTTTCCTTCGTGTCTGAATCATCGACACCTTCTGGCAAATGGTCGCTGGTCTCGAAGCTGATGAACCGTAAAAGAGTTGCGTGTGAAGCACAAACTGCAAACGAGTTTGCAGAGCTTGATTCTGCATTTCAGTTGTTCATCGAGAAGAAGTCTGAAACTTCGTTGAAAATGGAGGGTGTGAAGAAGTTGGAGAGCTGCGTCCAAGATCTGGAAGAAGGGATTGAGTCTCTCTTTAAATCTTTGATGAAATACAGAGTCTCTCTTCTTAACACCTTTGGCCACTGAGCCTATAGAGATTGTACCAAAAAAAGCATCATACTTTTAAAATGAGTACATAGAAACAACGAATACAAGAAAAATTTTCTATATAACTGTGTGTTCTTGTTGCTTCTTCTGTTCTTTCCCCCTTAATTTTGCGATTCATTTCCCGTCAAAGAACAAAACCTGGCAAGAAACATGACACATGCTCCAATTCAACGAACAGTTTATCTGAGAATCTGCAAATGTGTAGACTTGAAAAGGGCAAAAGATTGCCAAATCCTATTTCCCTAATCATTAAGCAAGGAAATGGTAAACCTTTTGGTGGTACAAGATACTTCAAAAGGCTCACTTCGTTATGAAATTCAGATTAACACACAATCTGATCATAAACCTGAGAAACGTAGGCGAATGACAAGAGTGAATACAAATACCTTGAAGAGTAAATCCTGCATTTGACGATTTAAGCACCAAAATGATCCATCCATCGTCAGTCTAAGAGACAAGACCGGCTTTGAAAAGATCGTCGATGCAAACCCTATGGAGCAAAACCATTATTGTTGGCGAAGCTCCAGAATTTTATTTGCATTGTAGATTTGGGCTCAAATCTCCAAAAAAAAACTCACAAACGCAACTTATAAAGGTAAACCCATGAATGAATTTGTAATTTTTCCGGGGCTCGTTTGGCCCAGAAGAACTCCAGTGGGAAAAAAAATCCTCTTTTTTTTGTTTAAAGAAAAAAAGGCGAAGGCTTGACCTGTTTTCCTGCAAGCCCTCGTCAATCTTAGTCATTACATCGAGGCCCATGACAGAAATTTACTGGAATTCGGGAGGTCTGAACTATCCTCTTATCTCTGGTCTGAACTATCCTCTTATCTCTCCGTTTCTTCTTCAACTTTTTGCTGTATGATTTGGGTTTATTTGATCTTTTGATCTGTTGTTTGTTATTGATCGATGGATTTGTCTGATTGTGGCGAAACATATAAGAAAACGAGGAGAAAAATCGCGATGAACAAGACAAGAGATGGATCTTTATGTCATTTCCAAAACAGTTTACATGTAGATTTGGTCATTGATTTCTACAAACTAGTTGCCCAAAATGTTAAGGACAGAGACTCTGAGTTTTATCAAGCTTCTGAATAGGCACTCAAGTCCTTGCTCGACATCTTCAATGATCATCTCCAAGCTCTGAAGACCCTCCATTTTCATGCCCTTTTCCGATTTTGTCTGAGTGAGTGAAAGCAATACTGAATCCACTTTGGAGAACTCGTTTCTTGTGCTGCTTTCTTCTTCTTCCTCGCAGGCTACTCTCTTTTGCCTGACCAGCTTCGAGACCAATGACCATTTACTGCTTGACTTTGACTGTGCCTTAGAACCAGAAATAAAGCTCAAGAACCATGCAAGCACATCAGCTGTAACTACCTCGGCCTCCATCAAGATCGTCAAGGTTTCATCTTCGTTTTGTTTTATATCTGTTGTCTTCAAGCTTCTTGAAACATTCTGGAATGACTTCTTAAGCGATCTCCTGGAGGCTAAGTATTTCTTGACCTCTGTGAAGAAACCATCACTTTTTCTTCGGACTGCCGATTGGACATCTCTAAGGCTCTCTTTCGTGTTTGACAGTGCATCCTTGGCAACGTTACAGACATCCAAGAACCTCAATGAACCATCGAGAAGCTCCAGGACCGTTTTCCTGTTCTGTTCTTGTGACAAAGCTTGTTGGTGGGAAGATTGCTGCAGCATCTTGTTGATACAGTTTTGCAGATCTTGAACATCGTTTAGCTTTTGGCAGATTGAAGATGAGGATGTAGAGGCAGATTCAGAAGATCTCAATCGGGTCAAGTGCTCGTTGACTTGAGCAACCAATGGGCTCGGGTTCGAAGGCAAGCTGTTTGAACGGACATGGAAAGATGCCATTTTTTTGTTCTTCTGATTTCTGAGGAGAAGCGAAGGGATTATTTTGGTTTTTGCCCTTCTTCTTGGTCATCTCATCTTTATATATTGCATAACCAGGGAGACAATAGAGGCATCTTCAAGAATATATTAACAGCTTGATCTGGATTTAGATCTCCGGTTTGTTCGTTGTGTGTCTCCCTCCAGCCATTCTCACAGATCAGAGATCCGTATGGTGAAGGTGTTAAAAAAATAGTTTCTTTATAAGATATTGCACGAGTGGATATTAAACAATGTCTCATTTCACGTTGCAGGACAATGCATAAGAGCTGGCTTGTCTCTCTCTAGTGAAGATCTCATGTTATCTTTGTAGGGTCCATCCATCTGTTAAGTAAGTAAATAATATTTTCATTACTTTTATATGGGGTAATGAGTTTATGCCGGCGAGCATTCGCACCAAACGTGCAAATATTCGCGCTAACAAACATGTGCATATATATATATATATATATTCATGGGCTCGGATCTTGTCTAAGTCTGTTGCGTGGTAGTTTGGAAACATGTATTAAAATCAAACCGTGTGTCTGCATATTTTATTATAAAGTCCTCATCTTTTTTTTTCAATGGAGTTCCGACAAGATCCTTAGCTTCGATTATGGCATGTGAATGCGCACGCTGTCTTAACAAAACATTATCGATGACTTCCTAAGGTTCATCTACTTTTATTTGTGTGTGTGTTGAGTACTCTGGAATGTTCCCCGCCAAAGGCACATGCTTTGAACTGTTTATTGCAGAAAACGTGTGGGAATCTCAATGTTTGTGGATTCATGTGCTTGACATTTCCTTCAACGTAAAAAGAAAAAACTTTCACCATGAAGATAAGACGGTGAAATTTAAGATTCTCAAGACAGATACAGATTCACAGTTCAATTGTTTGTTGAATCAGACTTTTGTGTTCTTGTTTCTTGCCAGGTTTTGTTCTTTGATAAGAAATGAATTGCAAAATTAAGGAAACGAAAAAGAAAAGAAGGCAAACAACAAACAGTTATATGGGAAATTTCTTGTATTCGTTTTTTATGTACTCATTTACAAGTATGGTAACTTTCTTCCATACAATTTCTACAGGCTGTAGACTAGTGGCTTAAGGTGTTAAGAAGAGAGACTCTGTATTTCATCAAAGATTTGAAAAGAGAATCAATCCCCTCTTCCAGATCTTGAACGCAAGTCTCCAACTTCTTTACATCCTCCATTTCCAACGACTTTTGAGACTTCTTCTCAATGAATGATTGAAATGCAGAATCAAGCTCTGCAAACTCATTTGTAGCTTGTGCTTCGCTTGCAACTCTTTTCTGGTTAATCAGCTTTGAGACCAGCGACCATTTTCCAGAAGGCGTTGATGATTCAGACACGAAAGAAAACACAGATTGAAACGTGGAAATTGTCAGATCTTCTGCTTCTCCAAACACAGCCAGAGACTCGTCACCATTTACTTTCAAACCCTTGAGGACTTTCTGGAATGACTTCTTGAGAGATCTTCTTGAAGCCAAATACTTCTTAATCTGACTTGAAAGATCTCCGCGTTTTCTCCGTAGAATTGATTGGATCTCATTGAGACCCTCTTTTATCTGTGACAAAGCATCTTTGGAAATGTTGCAGAAATCCAATATCCTGAGAGATCCATCAAGAAGATGCTCGACGGCTTTCTTGTCAAGGGTTTGTTCGGTGAAGGGTAAGCGAAGGAGCTTCTCAAGGGAATCATGCAAATCTTGAAGGCCGTTTAGTCTTTGACAGATAGAAGAGGAAGAAGATGTAGAAACGGCTTCAGAGGATCTCAACCGGCACAACTGCTCTTCCACATGAGCAGCTTGAGGGTGTTGCCTTGAGGGAAAGCTGTTAGATCGAACGTGGAAGGTTGCTGCCATCTTTTTTTTTTTTTGGGCCTTCTGGTTTGGTTTCGAGGTAGTGAAAATGCTTTCGAGTGGTAAGATGTTCTTGCCTTCATTGCCCTTCTGCTTCATATCTATATATACACGGTCAAGGAGGGAGACACAAGGAATCTCATCCTCCAAAACCAAGAAGCAAAGACGTGTTCATGATTATAATAATGCAAGCGATGTTTGCGCAATAAAAAGAGATGATAGTGAATTATATCGGATCATGTCTGCGTTCTGCATAGCAATCACATTCAAATACACGAATGGCAATTAAACAATGTCTCATTTCATGGTTGCAGGACAATGAATAAGAGCTGGCTTGTCTCCCAATGATGGTTATGCCGCTGGTGAAGATCTGATGTTATCTTTGAAGGATCCATCCATCGGTTAGGTACCTAAAGAATCTTTTCATTAGTTTATGGGAAATGAGTTGTGGAGTTTGGAGGAGGGAAACACTGCATAGACATAATCTGGTACTCCTTGTGTGTATTTCACATTATAATCACGTTTCTGATGCTAAGTGCAAGAGGATGAGATTCCTCATGTCTCCCTCCCACCCATCTCACATATAATTTTCTGAGTTATCATTTTATTACAGTAAGTATTCATATCATCTGCAATCTGCATTATAATATAGTATAGTTAACTGGTAAACTAAAGTTAAGGAAAGATGAAACCAGCCTTTGTCGTCTCTTGTTCTTGAATATACGAATCCATGTTTTTTTTAGATTCTGATTTGTGCCATGATGCTTTTTTGTTCAGTTGGTTCTTGAACAGTAGCGAATGATCATGTTAAAAGAAAAAAAAAACGAGCAACAAGAAAAATATGAGAAATTTTGATTTTTTTTTTTTCATTTCAAAACTCATTTTTTACAGGATCACATATTTAGTACAGATGATCTAACTCTAATCAGGGATTTAAAGAGTGTTTCAAGTCCCTCTTCAAGATCTTGAATGCTCATCTCTAAGCTTCTGAACATCATCCATTTTGAAGGATTGCTTCGACTTTTTCTCGACAAACATGGTGAATTCTTTTTCCACTTCTTCAAATTCATTTACTTCAGTGACTTCTCCTACACATGATGAAACTCTTCTCTGCTTCATCAGCCTTGAAACCAATGACCATTTTCTGGTTTTGGAGCTGGAGATGAATCGCAGAAGAATATCGAACACAGAGATGGTTTCAGCTTCAGCTTCTTCCAACACAGCCAAAGCTTCATCATTGCTGCTTTGATTCTCAGTGGCCTTCAAACCCTTCATCACTTTCTCCAGTGACTTCCTTAGCGACTTTCTCGAGGCTAAGTATTTCTTCACCTCGCTTGTTAAATCTCCTCTCTTTCTTCTCAGAATAGATTGGATGTCATTCAGACCCTCTCTAGTCTGAGACAAAGCATCCTTGGCGATGTTGCAGACCTCCAGGAGCCTGAGAGAACCATCAAGAATCTGTTCCATGGATTTCTTGTTGTGCTCTTGAGCCAGAGATTGTTGGGTGAATGGTAGTTGAAGCAGATCGTAAATGGAAACGTGCAAATCTTGAAGGCCGTTTAATCTCTGGCAGATGGAAGAGGAAGATGATGTAGACGCTGCCTTAGAGGATCGCAGTCGGATCAAATGATCCTCTACAAGAGCAGCTTGTGGGTGTGGCCTCGACGGAAAGCTGTTTGAGCGGACATGGTGAGTAACTGCCATTGTTTTGCTTCAGTATTGGTTTCCAGAAGAGAAAGTCTTTCGAGGGAGAGAGAGCGAGAGAGAAGAGATGTGTTTAAGCTTTTTTGTCAATCTACTTCAATATATATATCAACAGTAGAGGGATATGTGAGGAGTCTCATCCTCTGGCAAAGAGGTGATAATTGAATTGATGATCAGCAATGTCTGTGCAATGTCCCCCTCCTGCCACACTCTCATTAACTTGTGATTATGTGATAATGATAATGTAGTTAAGCTTGTGCATGTGCATGCATGTGTGTTCAGATATAATATATGAACACGTAGTTCCATCATCATTGTCTACTTGAGGCATTGACAAGCTGACAAGATGATGCTCGTGTGGGTTGATTATTTTATGATATGATTCAAATGACTCATGTGCCCGCAGAAGAATCCTTTTCTTTTGTTTAAGGGGCAATGAGCTTGTGGAGGGAGACACTGCATCGACATTGCTGATCACATGCTCTGTCTCTGGAATCATAATGAGGGTGAGATTCCTTTTGTCTACATCTCCCTCCTCAAATAATATATATATATATATATATATATATATATATATATATGTGATACAGAAAGGTGATGAATATAATATGCAACAATCGTGAATAAGAACGTGTATATGCACGAGTGCTCTGCAACTTGTCTGCCTTCTGTGCTGTGATAGAAGCCGAGGAAGAAGGTGACTGTATATTGAAGTATGGCCAATAACGTTTTCATTATTTTATACTAATAGGCACTCGTGCGTTTGGTTACATTCTAACTTCCCTGAAACATTTAACATCCATATCATGATGATTATGTCTGATCTATACATGTGTTGTCACCATTTTCAGGATTTTTCATCCTCCAGAGGTACTGAATCTGAATGAAATCTGTTACGAAATGCGTAGGTTATGTCAAAATCCAGTTTGATGTAAGAATTTAGCAGGTTGTCCAGTTTCCAGCCTCATCGACAAGTTGCTAAGCCAATGGAAATTCACACGCACATTCAGACAAGATCCACATCCAACGGTTATGGCATGTGAAACCACACCCACGGAAGACTTGTAAGGTTTCCTGACTTTGTTTTCCCGGACCACTAGGACACGCTTTGGAGCTATCATTGCAGATAACGTGTGCTGACATATATTATAATCATCGGTATGAAATCTTAGAATTTTACTGCATCCTTTACTGTTTTACCACCTGGTTAAAATGTGAGAACTGCTAAAAAAATCTAAGCCAGTATTGCATCAGAACATTTTTCAGAAGTTTGTTTCTTAGTTGATCTTGTTCTTTGATTGGAAAAGGATCGAAATTACAAAGGAACAATAACAAATAGTTATATGCTAAAGTCCTTGTATTCATTGTTTCTATGTACTCATTTACAAGTATGATGCTTTCTTATACACGAACTCTACAGGCTTAGTGGCCAAATGTGTTAAGAAGAGAGACTCTGTATTTCATCAAAGATTTGAAGAGAGACTCGATCCCCTCTTCCAGATCTTGGACGCAGCTCTCCAGCCTCTTCACATCCTCCATTTTCAACGGATTTTCAGACTTGTTCTCGGTGAAGGACTGAAATGCAGAATCAACCTTTGCAAACTCGTTTGCAGTTTGTGCTTCACATGCAACTCTTTTATGGTTCATCAGCTTCGAGACCAGCGACCATTTGCCAGAAGGTGTTGTTGATTCAGACACGAAGGAAAACAGAGAATCAAACAGAGAAATTGTCACAGCTTCTGCTTCTCCAAACACAGTCAGAGACTCGTCGCCATTAGTGGCCTTCAAACTCTTGAGTACTTTCTGGAATGACTTCTTGAGGGATCTTCGTGAGGCCAAGTATTTCTTAACCTCGCTTGAAAGATCTCCGCGTTTTCTCCGTAGGATTGATTGGATCTCGTTGAGACACTCTTTTGTCTGAGACAGAGCATCCTTTGTAATGTTACAGAAATCCAATATCCTGAGAGATCCATCAAGATGCTTCTCGACGGCTTTCTTGTCAAGGGTTTGCTGGGTGAAGGGTAAGCGAAGGAGCTTCTCGAGGGAATCGTGCAAATCCTGGAGGTCGGTTAGTCTTTGTCCAATAGAAGAGGAAGAAGATGTGGAGGTGGCTTCAGATGATCTCAACCGGCACAACTGCTCTTCCACATGAGCAGCTTGAGGGTGTTGCCTTGAGGGAAAGCTGTTCGAACGAACGTGGAAGGTTGCTGCCATCTTTTTTCTCTTTTTCTTCTGGTTTGGTTTCGAGGTAGAGAAAATGCGTTTGAATGCTGAGATGTTCTTGCCTTCATCGCCCTTCTGCTCGATATCTATATATACACGATCAAGGTGGGAGACAAAAGGAATCTCATCCTCCAAACCCAAGAAACAAAGACGTGTTCATGATCAGAATAATGCAACGTGCAATGTCATTTTTCCCGAAAGAAAAGGAGACGGTACTGAATTATATCGGCTCATGTCTGCTTTCTGGATAGCAATCACGGTTCAGTTTCACGAGCGGCTACTTAACAATGTCTCATTTCATGGTTGCAGGACAATGCATAAGAGCTGGCTAAGCTTGCCTCTCAATCATGGTTAAGCCGCACGAGAAGATCTGATGTTATCTTTGGAGGATTCATCGGTAAAGTCACTAAAGAATCTTTTCATTAGTTTATGGGGAAATGAGTTGTGGAGGTTGGAGGAGGGGGACAATGCATAGACATTTTCTGATAATCACGCTTCTGATGCTAAGTCCAAGAGGGTGAGATTCCTCATGTCTCCCTCCCTCCCATCTCGTATTTAATTTTTCTGAGTTATCATTTTATTACAGTAAGTATTCATATCATCTGCAATCTGCATTATAATACAGTTAACTGTTAAACTAAAGTTAAGAAAAGATGAAACCAGCCTTTGTCTTTTTTTCTTGTTCTTGAACATACGAATGCATTTTTTTTTCAGATTCTAATTTGTGTAATGATTGTTTTACGTTCAGTTGGTTCTTGGACAATAGCGAATGATCATGCTAGAAGGAAAAAAAATAAGCAACAAGCAATATGAGAAACTTTGATTTTTATTTTATTTTTTTCATTTCAAAACTGATTTTTACAGGATCACATATTTAGTACAGAGGCTCTAACTCTAACCATGGATCTAAAGAGTGTCTCATGTCCCTCTTCAAGATCTTGAATAGTCATCTCTAAGCTCTGAACATCCTCCACTTGGAAGGACTGCTTCGACTTTTTCTCGACAAACATGGTGAATGCTTTATCCACTTGTTCAAATTCATTTGCTTCAATGTCTTCTCCTTCACATGATGAAACTCTTCTCTGCTTCATCAGCCTTGAAACCAATGACCATTTTCCGGAATTAGCAGAGGAGATGAATCGCAGAAGAGTATCGAAAGCAGAGATGGTGACAGCTTCAGCTTCTTCCAACACAAACAAAGCTCCATCTTTGCTGCTTTGATTCTCAGTGGCCTTCAAACCCTTCATCACTTTCTCCAGTGACTTTCTTAGGGACTTTCTCGAGGCTAAGTATTTCCTCACCTCGCTTGTTAAATCTCCTCTCTTTCTTCTCAGAAGCGATTGGATTTCATTCAGACCCTCTTTAGTCTGATACAAAGCGTCCTTGGCGATGTTGCAGACCTCCAAGAGCCTGAGAGAACCATCAAGAATCTGTTCGATGGATTTCTTGTTTTTTGTCCTGAGCCAGAGATTGTTGGGTGAAGGGTAGCTGAAGCATATCGTAAATGGAAGCGTACAAATCTTGAAGGCCGTTTAGTCTCTGGCAGATGGAAAAGGAAGAAGATGTAGAGGCTGCTTCAGAGGATCTCAATCTGATCAAATGATCCTCTACAAGAGCTGATTGAGGGTGTGGCCTCGAGGGAAAGCTGTTAGAACGGACATGGTGAGTAGCTGCCATTGTTTTGTCTCTGTATTTGATTTCAGAAGAGAGGGAAGACGTGGGTATTTGCTTTTTGTCAATCTGCTTTGCTTTCATCTTGTTTCAGGTCAATGTATATATATAAATCAGATGCAGAGGAATGTGTGAAGTGTCTCATCCCTCTGGCAATAATTGAATTCATGATCAGCGATGTCTGTGGAGTGTCCCCCCTCCGCCCACACTCTCATTATCATGTGATAAAGATGATGTGGTTAAGCTTGTGCATGTGCATGCATGTGTGTTCAGATATAATATATGAACAAGTAGTTCCGTCATCATTGTCTACTCAAGGCATTGACAAGCTGACAAGATGATACTCGTGTGGATTTTGATTATTTTATGATATGATTCAAATGACTCATGTGCCAATGGAAGAATCTTTTTCTTTTGTTTAAGGGAGAATGAGCTTTGTGGAGGGAGACACTGGATCGACATTGCTGATCACACAGCTCTGTATCTGGAATCATGATGAGGGTGAGATTCCTTTTGTCTACACCTCCCTCAAATTATATATACGTACATATATATATACATATATATATATGATACAGAAGGGTGATGAACATAATATGCAACAATCATGAATAAGAGCGTGTATATGCACGAGGGCTCTGCAACTTTTCTGCCTCCTGCGCCGCGATAGACGCCTTGAGGAAGAAGGTGACTCCATATTGAAGTTTATAGCCAATAAACGTTTTCTCTATTTTATACTTATAGCCACTCGTGTGTTTGGTTACATTATAGCTTTCCTGAAACATTTAACAACCATATCATGATGAAATATCTCAGATCTATACATGTGCTGTTACATATCAGGGCAACTTGATTATCAAAATCAGGACAAGAAACGTGTACTGGGTCCGTGTCATGTTGAATACGAGTGAGATTCCATTGTCATTCATGAGTTTCTTGACTGAAACTTGAGGATCAAACCTCAACAAGAAACTCAGGGACATCTGAAGTTTGTAAGAAACCGACAGTTGATTGCCTTGTCCGTTTTCTTGGGGTCCAAGAAACAAGTATACTCAGTTTGCTTATCAATCGGATCACCTTCTCTGCAGATTTCAGTGTTCAAGATCCTCGAAGAGGTTCTTGGTTAAACTGAATTCACGTGTTTTTGGAAACGTATCATTTCTTGAAACTCAATACTGAATCTGTCGTAACCGTAACCAGTACCTGGTAAACTCCCTGCAAGATATATATACACACACATATATATATATATATATATATATATACAAGGAAGACAATATTATATAAGTCTATGGAAGAGAAAAGCAAAAGAAATTGACAGAAAAGGGGAAAAAGCATCGGGATGACACAACTCTGTGAGCATCATCATTGGATTTTCTGCTAAAAAAAGGCAGTGGGAGACCAAACAGCACCGCGAGAAGCTTTGAACTTTGAACTTTGAAACACCCATTTGTAAATTTCGGGTAATCAATCATATCTCCTCTGCAGTTTTTTTTTTTTTTTTTTTTTTTCCTCTC